ACAGAGGACACTCACAGTGAGACTGAAGTGGACAAGAAGACAGAGGAGTCAACACAGACATACTGTCCCCTTCAGACCACAACCTGCGTTACAACCGCAGGATGGACACATCAGACACACAAACCAACGGTTCCTAATCTTCGTCTGAGCCTGATCCTGAATCAGGCTCCTGCTCTGGTTCCTCCCCTGGTCCTGACTCAGATCTGGTTTCTGGTCTTAGTGAATAATGAAGCATTCTCTCGACTGTGATACGTTTTTCTTCCGTACGTTTTTCAGCATCGTTCTCGTTCCACAGTTTTTGTGCTATTTCAACAAATCATAACTCAAAACATTCGGCTCTTTCAGGACAATCCTGCTGTCTTTTGTCGGCTTCTATCAGCTATTTTCAGCTAATTTCAGGATTTTTTTAGCTGTTTTGTGCTGCTTTCAGATTCGTTCTGCTAGCTACAACATTTTTGTGCTGCTTCTAACGTCTTTCTGCTAATTTCAGCTTGTTATGCTCCTTTCAGCTTATTTCTGCAAGTTTCAACTTTTTTTGCTATTTCAGCTACCATTTAAGTGTTTTATGCTAATTGTAGCTTTTTAGCTAATTCCACTTTTGTTAGCTCATTTTAGCTCTTTCCTCTTCCTTCTGGTAGTTTAAATTTCTTTCTGCCTTTTCAATTTTTTTTTTTTTTTTCTAATTTCAGCTTTTTTTGTGCCCATTTCCAAATTTTGTGCTCATTTCTGCTAATTTAAATCTAATTCAGCAAAAATGGGTTCTTTCTGCTTTCCTCTGTAACTTGGGCTTGTTCTTCCTTTTCAGCTGAAATTCAGCATGTTTTTAACTAATTTCAGCTGTTCTTCAGCAATTAGCATTCACACTGTATTTTCACAGGAAATGTAATTTCTCTAGTTTGGGTTTGGAGCTTCGTCACGTTCCTAAACATGATCTGTTAGTTTCAGTCTTAATCCAGAATTGGCTCTTGATTTTATTTTCCTCACTCGCCCTCGAGCAAGACGGATGTTCTCCTTCCCTCTCCTGCTTTCCTCCTGCTTTTGCTCTCTGTCCCGTGTATCGGAGCTTCTATTCCAACATCTTCCGAATCTTAAATTACTGTCATGGATCTGCTCCGCTGGACTTCCAAAGCAACTGATGACATTTTCTCACCCAAGCGACAGGGTGCTGGAGAGCCCTCACGCCCCGGACAGACGCATGCGGCTGGGTCCGTCATGGATCCGTGGGGGGAGTGGAAGTTGATGTGCCTGTCTGTGTTGTCTCTGGAGGATGTTGAAGATTTATACGTCATTGGACTTATGATAGCAGCGTTTCTGCTTTTGGCACCGGCGGACACCTGTTATCGGCTATTAAGAAAGATGGCAGCAGCAGTTCTGGCAAAGCTGCTGACCTTATGTGAAGGATTAGTTCGTGCTTCGAGCTCTCAGACTCAGCTGATTTACGAGATCAACCGTAAGCTGGAAGCAATTTGTCAGAATTGTAGGCGACTTGCGGCTTCTGGAACTCGTCTTCATGTTTGAATCAATCTTGGAGAAGGCTTATAAGCACAGACCAAAAGAAAGCCCACAAATCTGGCCTTTTTGGATCATCGAGAGTACCAGCAGAACTCAAGGCCGATGAGAAATAACAGTCTGCCTGTACAAAAACTACCGCCTATTATCTGAATCTGGCCTCCCCGTTTGGTCTTGAATAGGCCAAATGTATCAAATTTCTCCTGGGGATGTGTAAACTAAGAAGGCTCTGCTCTATTCCCCCTCACCCAATAAGTTCTGTGAACGCTTATCAGAGCTGTACCGGCTGACACTTTAACGTCTTATCGGGACTAGGGTCTATCTAGAAGTGCTTCATGGACAAATCTCACAGTCTTGTTGTCAAACGCAGATGTAATGCGTCTATAAATGTGCTGCTGGCAGAGTTTTGGATGTCTTAAACCGTGTCCTGACAAGGACAAGGTGTGACAAGATCTTTTTGAATAACCACTGTCCTCATGGTCTTTCCTCTTTTCTATCTAAAGAATCAGAGCCGCGCTCCTAGGAGCTGCAGCCACGTACACGCCGCACGTCTTTCAGACGGCTGTACGGAATATAATCTTGCTGTACTTCACTATGCAATGACAATAATCCCTATTCTGATTCTGATTACTGTTCTAATTCTGAATAATTTCTAAAGTTTTGTTATTGATCAGAATTAAACTTTTGCCATTTTATCTTATTTCTACTCCTGATCCCAGTAAACAGTCCAGATCGTGTCATTTACATGGCTCCTGATCCGGACTTGTTCCAGACCCAGAATACTCTCACCTTCCCTGGTCCATCATATATGCAGCGGGCAGACTCGGGGGAACATCCTCCATGATGGCTCTGACATGGATCAAACTCCATGCAGACCTTTCCATCCCCACTGTAGCCCTCTCTGCAGGTGCAAAGGTGCTGGTTTGGACCCGTGTGTTCACAGGAAGCGTGGACATGACAGACAGACTGAAGACACGGGTTTTTGGCTGTGAAGGACAGAAGTAGAACATTTTCTAACTCAGCCTCCAAAAGCAGTTGTTTCCAAGCAAAACTGGACCTCCAAGTGAACTCACACAAACACTGAGATCCTGATTTCTGGTAGCCGGGTTTACACTGACACACCAGCTGTCCCGTCAGAGCTTCTTCCATACAGCGGGAGTTTGGCGAACAGGTGAGAGCTGCACACTCAGGTAACTCTGTAACATACAGCAACCAGCTTAGGTAAGAAGGGACAGAGGAAACAGAAAAGCTTCAGGTTTCAAACAACAAAAACCATAAACAGGTGTGGAACCACGTGCAGGTAACAGCTAAGGTTTTACCTTGGTCACAGTTTGGTCCTTTGTACCCAGAAAAGCAGGTGCATCGACCGTCACCTTTCAATCCAGAATCACAAAGACCATGGACACATGTGCACTCTGAGACCAAAGACACAAGGACAGCAGATGAGACACAATCTGTCAAGACTGGTTTTACTCAGGCTAGTTTGAACTGAAGTTACCTGAGCTGCAGGTGGGTCCATAATGTCCAGGTGCACAGTCCTCACATGCAGTTCCTGCAAAACCCCTCTGAGACAAACAAAGAAGAACCATGAGTGCAAAACTTCAGCAACAGTCACTGTAGCACCTTCTCATGGTGGTCCACATGTCTCGGATAGGTTCTACAGACAGTTCTAGACCAGTTCAGTGTGACCCTATACTCCCCAAGGAGTCCACAGCAACACATAATCCTGTGCTGAAATGTTTGTTGGACTAATGGTTTAATGGTTGTTTGACTACAGCTCCAATGGTTGCTAGACAGTTTAATGATCTAATGGTGGTTAAACGGTTTGTTGGTCTAATGGTTGTTGGACAGTTTGTTGGACTAATGGTTGGTGGACTATTTGGGAACCACTGATTCTGTGCTTGCTGATGACACGCAGTTGTCCTTCGGAGGTTTGGTAGATTTCAGTTATTATGGAGAAGGATTTTGGGATAATTTGGGAGAATGTCTGGGGACAGATGATTACCGAGCAAGCTTTAAGGTCTTGGAACTCGTTTCAGATAAACGCAGAACTTTGTGTAAGTAGAACTTTGTGTAGGCCCAGAGGAATCCAATGATCCACTTCTTGGAACCATACTGTCAGTGTCTCATGTAACAAGTGTGTTGTGTCAGTGTTGTGTGTGTGTGTGAGAACAGGTGTGTTGTGTCAGCGGTGTGTGTGAACAGGTGTGTTGTGTCAGCGGTGTGTGTGAACAGGTGTGTTGTGTCAGCAGTGTGTGAGAACAGGTGTGTTGTGTCAGCAGTGTGTGTGTGTGTGTGTGTGTGTGTGTGTGTGTGTGTGTGTGTGTGTGTGCGTATGAACAGGTGTGTTGTGTTAGTGGTGTGTGTGTGTAAACAGGTGTTTTCTCAGCAGTGTGTGTGAACAGGTGTGTTTTCTCAGCAGTGTGTGTGTGTGAACAGGTGTGTTGTGTTAGCGGTGTGTGTGAACAGGTGTGTTGTGTTAGTGGTGTGTGTGAACAGGTGTGTTTTCTCAACAGTGTGTGTGTGAACAGGTGTGTTGTGTCAGCAGTGTGTGTGTGAGCATGTAGGTGGATCACCTGACAGCTGCAGGTTCCGTCCCCCCCCAGCCCGTCAGAGCAGACCCCCCTGTCCCTGCACGGTCTCTGGGCCTGATCGGGACACTCTGAAACACAAACAGGACATTGACTGAGTGTCTTTGAGGAACGCTGCAGCTGCATTGTTGTCTTCTGACTGGGAGCTGTCCCCTCCCTCCCTGCATCTCTTCCTCCATCTCTCTTATCACTGCAGCAGCTTCTCTGTTGTCCTTCAGGTCTTCACCGTCCTTGGACTTCAGCTCAGTGTTTGAGTGTGTGTGTGCGTGATGCTGTAGTTTATTAGACCTCAGAAGACGTGGACCAACATGTCTTAATGCCATAAATTACACAACTCTGAAAAAGTTGGGTTGTTGTGTAAAATAGAAATAAAAACAAAACGCAGTGATTTACAAACCTGAGCCTTTCAAAATAAAACCCGTTCAGAAGGTTCAAATGTTGCAGCACATTCTAATTTTTAAAATTCAATTACAGCAAGTCATCTGTAAAGTTGCTCCGGTCCAGATCAGAACCAGCTGGAGGAACAGTTAGTGACTAAAGAGGGAAATTATCAATTATTAAGGAACAACTTCTGTTGGGACTTGGAGCTACAGAAATAAACTGAACTGAGGCGGCACGGTGGATCAGGTAGTAGAGATCTTGCCTCTCAGCAAGAAGGTCGCCGGTTCAAATCCCGGCTGAGGGTTTTTCAATTAAATTCAGTTCAGTTTATTTCTGTAGCTCCAACAGAAGTTGTGTCAGGACACTGAACAGAAACATCCACACACGTTATTAAAGTTCTCTGTCTGAGGAAGGAAAGGTGGAGTTTCATGTTCTCTCTGTGCTGCGCGGGTTTTCTCCGGGTACTCCAGTTTCCTCCCACAGATCAAAAACATGCATGTTAGACTGATGGTAACTCTAAATTGTCCCTAAGTGTCCCTGTGATGGACTGAGACATGTCCAGCATATGCCCCCTACCCCCCTTCACACAGTGACTACTGGACGCAGTCACATTTCTAGAACTGGGTTACCGTGCACAGAGAGAACTGGAGGGTGCCAAATATCCCATGATCCATCTTGTTTGCCTCTGGAATGAGAAACTGAAGCAGCACACAGTCCTCTAGTTCTCCAAAAACCTCCAACATCTGGTCTCATCTGGTTCTCCAAACCATCCAACATCTGGACTCCTCTGGCCTCCAAAACCTCCAACATCTGGTCTCTGGTCCTTAAAAACCTCAAACATCTGTTCTCTTCTGGTCCTCCAAAACCTCCAACATCTGGTCTCTGGTCCTTCAAAACCTCAAACATCTGGTCTCCTCTGGTCCTCCAAAACCTCCAACATCTGGACTCCTCTGGTCCTCCAAAACCTCCAACATCTCCTCCTCTATTGTTGCTAAAACTGGTGGATGTTTTGGTTTCCATAGCGGAGCTCAACGCTCTGTGTTTGACCCTTCACACCTGAGACACACCCAGATGAAGCAGCGACTGAAAATTATTGGATTGTAGACCTGGATTATTGAGCATGGACTTTGTTGGTTTTGAACCAGTTTGACATGACTGTCGACGAGGAAGAGGGCTGGCACCAGAGGAGGGGCGTGTGAAAGAGACCATCTTAGCACCAACATAACTGGTTTGTTCCACTTTGGAGTAAGCTGTTGGGGGGGAAATCAGTTTTGTTGTGTGTTTCCTTGACTGATGAAGCCTTCTGGATGGAAGGTGAAACATTTCAGCACAAAAAAAGAAACTGTCCAGATGACCTGACTGAAAAATGTTGGATTTGTTGTTTATGTTTGAACACGTCTCATTCAATAATCATTTGTTTGTATAAATATTTGTTGCTGTTTTTTTAATAAACTGATCAGCTGAACATTTTCAGACTGTAAACTGTAGAAACAATTCTTCTCCTCCTGCTTCGACCTTCAGCTCTGCACTGTTCCTCGGTGGACTCGTGTTTTTTGGGTTTTGGGGGATCGGAGAGTCCAGCTCCACGCGGGTCAGCAGATTCCAAAACTGCGGAAGGAAGTCCTGATTTCTGGAGGAAGACCTGCATCCTGCAGGACTCATGTGACACGCGTCACCAGGAAGTCTCTGCTGAGGCTTAGGACTTGTGAAGTCTGGTTCCTGTAACGTTCTCTTGTTCATTTAGCAGAACACTGCTGCACGACCTGTCCATTCCGACCCCTCTGACCAGTTCTGATGTTTCTGAATGAACTTTAGTAATGCAACTTGTGTGTACTGACCCAAACAGTCTGGACCCCAGAACCATGGACAGCAGCTCTTCACCTGCACCTCCTTGTAGCACCTGAAGGAGCAGCCGCTCATGGTCAGTTTCATGCTGTACGTGTTGATGTGGTACCTGCAGAGCAGAACCACAGGTTCTGTTAGATTGGTCCTGTTTTCAACAGAAGCATAAGATTCTGAGGAGGACACAACCAGCAGAAAGGACGAGTTCTAATGATCTATAGTTCTGACGTTATGATGTTCTGACAATCGAAAGTTGTGATGTTTAGGAATTCTGACGTTCTAATCTTCTAAAGTTATGATGTTCTTACGTTCCGACGTTCTCACATTTTGATTTTTGAATGTTCTACAACTCTGATGTTCTGACATCGTCTACTCTACTTGTCTGTATTTGTAATTATTTCTTTCTTAACATGTTTGTTGTATTTCCTTCTATAGAAGTACACCTGGACTATAGAAAGTACACCTGGACTATAGAAATACACCTGGACTATAGAAAGTACACCTGGACTATAGAAAGTACACCTGGACTATAGAAGGTACACCTGGACTATAGAAAGTACACCTGGACTATAGAAGTACACCTGGACTATAGAAAGTACACCTGGAATATAGAAAGTACACCTGGACTATAGAAAGTACACCTGGACTATAGAAGGTACACCTGGACTATAGAAAGTACACCTGGACTATAGAAAGTACACCTGGACTATAGAAAGTACACTTGGACTATAGAAAGTACACCTGGACTATAGAAGGTACACCTGGACTATAGAAAGTACACCTGGATTATAGAAAGTACACCTGGACTATAGAAAGTGCACCTGGACTATAGAAAGTACACCTGGACTATAGAAAGTACACCTGGACTATAGAAAGTACACCTGGACTATAGAAAGTACACCTGGACTACAGAAAGTGCACCTGGACTATAGAAAGTGCACCTGGACTATAGAAAGTGCACCTGGACTACAGAAGGTACACCTGGACTATAGAAAGTACACCTGGACTATAGAAAGTACACCTGGACTATAGAAAGTACACCTG